ATCCTATTACTATATATTGAAATGAAGAAATGTTATTTCTGTCTTGTCCAAGTTCGTCAAAGAGTTTTGTGCATTTTCAAAGAAAAGTTTTGTAGATTAATTCTTGTTAATGTGGCTTTTGTCTACCTTGTGTTTTTGTCACATCTTTGATATTGGTTAGGATATTTTTCAGTTATCATCTATGTAGGTTTCCGGGATAGATTTGAGTATGGTCTCCAGACCATTAATAAGACCTCTTTTACTTCTATTGTGCGGCATGAATGTATCTATTTTAGTTTCTACCTGATTGAATTGTTTCGTAGGACTACTAATGATACTTTAAGAGCTGGGTGGTTAGAAGGATTCTGTAACTACGGGTCGAAGTACGTTGAGAGTTATGTGTCAGTGTTAGTATTTGTTGTTTAAGCTGGTGCTTCGGTGTTTGTAAATTTCTTAACTGTTTTTCTAATTTTTTGTTTATGTAGCTTTTGACCTTTAGTTGTTAGGAAGGTGACGCCTGTGTCTCTACCTACTTTGTGTAGTGAAAATCTCGGAGTTATCTTGTTCCTACGGTTTTCTTTTCTAAATTTCATATCATTAGGCTCGACTTGGACTGGTGTCACTCTGTCCTCGTTTAATTTAGCCAATCTTTTTTTTGTGGTTGTGGTTCGTTTAATTTCTTTAGATAGTCGTGGTGATTGTCGAATGTTATAGTTTTTTTGAATATGTGAGTTCTTCCCTGAAAGAGCTCGAAAGGGGTTTAGGAAGTGCTGGAGTGTATTGCATAGTTATATGTTGCAACAGCTTCTGCGAGTATTTGGTCATGCCCGCATTCTAGGCGTGCTTCCTTTCTTTTGTTCATGATTATTCTGTATAGTTCGGTTAAGGTGGAATGCAGTCTTTCGACCGAAGCGTTGTCCGTTGATTGTTGGAATGAAGTTGTATGAGCTGTTATTTGGAATTGGGTGCGCCGTAGTGACTTATAAATTGTAATAGGGCATCAGCGACTTTTATTGAATTCCTATTGCTAATGGGGTAGGCTTGCGCTAGTTTAGAAAAATTCTCTATAATGGTGAGGTTACAAGCATTGTTAATGAAGTATATGTCTATATGCACGACCGCCTATGGTTCCTCTGGTGCGGTTGGGGTTTGCAACAGTGGTTTATGGGGATGTCTATCGTACTTGAGGATTAGGCAAGTATCGCAATTTTTTATAATTTTTGTGATAATGTTTTTTAAATGCGGAAAATAAATGTCCCTTTTTAAATGGTTATAAGTTTCGTCTATCCCCCTATGATTGGTGTTAAGGTGATACGCACGAATTTTGTTTTCCTGGTCATGGGGATTAGTGATTTCGGTTAGCCGTATTTTGCAGCGGGAAATTTTGTATAAGTCGTTTTCAAAGAAATAGTTATTATAGGATTCTTCTATTATTCTGAAAATATCGTCTGGTGCAAATATTGCGAATGTTTTATTCGGTTTCAGGATTGTTTGAAGGGCGTTTGTAACGGAATCGAAAGTGTACACGGGTTCTGTGATTATGTGTCTTATTTTATGGGCAAATGGTGTTTCTATTTGTCTTGCCGTTGTTGATCCGGTGCAGAATACTATTTGACTATTGAAGTGATTTAGTGGTTGTGAAGCGATTAGTACTCGTATAATTTGTGGGTCTTCGTTTATGTTCAAGTTTGGCTCGATTCTGCTGAGTGCGTCAGGGACTACGTTTTGCGACCCTTTTTTGTATACAACTTCGTAGTCGTAAGCGGACAGGATAGTTTTCCATCGAAGTAGTTTTGGATTCTGGCCTTTCAGATTTTCTAACCAGGTTAATGGCTTATGATCCGTGACCATTTTGAATCTACGCCCGAAGAGGTATGGTCTGAAATGACCTACAGACCAAATGATAGCTAGCATTTCTTTCTCTATCGTAGAATAGCGGATTTACGTATCCGATAGTGTCCTGCTAGCGAAAGATATGGGTCTGTCATTAGTGTCTGAGCCTTGTGACAACACAGAGCCTATCGCATAGTTACTTGCGTCTGTGGTCAACGTAAATGATTTATTAAAATCAGGGTATATGAGTATGGGATCATTACAAAGAAGATCTTTCGACGTTTCGAACTTGTTTAAACTCCTCATCTATTGTTATAGATTTCCTTCCTTTTAACTGTCTCGTCATGGGTTTAGTTATTTTTGCGAAGTCCTTAATAAATTTCCTGTAATACCCTAATAGTCCCAAAAATGACTTAATTTCCCTAATTGTCTTTGTGCAGGGGAAGTCCTTGATGGCTTGAATCTTAAGTGGATTTGGTTTGACTCCTTCCTGGGTGACGATGTGTTCCAGGAAGTCGATTTCCTTTCTTAAAAAGTGACACTTGCTCGGTTGGATTTTTAGATTTGCGTTTTGGAGTTTTATGAATACGGATTTAATATCTGCTATATGTTTTTGGAGTGAGGGTGAGAATACTATTATGTCGTCGAGATAGACGAGACAGACGTTACCGACTAGATCACCTAAGACGTTGTCCATAACGCGTTGGAACGTGGCAGGGGCGTTTTTGAGACCGAAGGGCATCCTTGTGAACTCATAATGCCCATTTTCGACGGTGAATGCCGTCTTGCTTGCGTCGCGTGGGTTCATTTGAATTTGGTGAAAGCCACTTGCTAAGTCTATTGTTGTGAAATACATAGTCTTTCCTATGCTGTCTAGTATATCTGCAATGTTCGGAATAGGGTATCTATCAGAGATCGTTTTTTCATTTAATTTTCGAAAATCGATTACCAAACGCCACTTTTTTTCGCCTGTGATGTCCTCTTTCTTAGGTACGACCCAGACGGGTGCACTCCAAGGGGAAAGGCTGCTTCTTATGATGTTCTGTTCGAGCATTTTGCTTTCGAACTTCGTCTTTATGTACAAATTGGTAACGGTAAGATTTTGTGTGAATCGGTATATTATCTGTCGTGGGTATAGAGTGTTTAACGGCATTAGAGAACGTTAGTTGATTATTTTCGTTGTGAAAAAGTCTTTTGAATGATTTGCATAGTTTGAGAATATGTTGTTTTTCCTCGCTGTTGAGGTGTTCCGTCTGAATGTCTAATTGTTGATCGTCCGGTAATTCTGTATTAGTTGCCGCGGACATGCAGTTTAAGTATTGGTGGGTTTGTGGAGAGAACTCTTCTGCCTGTAACGGTTCTTCTAGATAAAGTCTTTGGGTCTGGTCTGAGTTATTACAGACTTCGAAATAGGCGGATCCTGCGATTGCGGTGTATAAGCCACCTGTTATGACTATTTGATTATCCAAATTCGTGGTTTCATATATAAAGTCTCCCTGATGTATCTCCCTAATGTATCTACAGGGTTTGCTCATGTGAGGATTGGGATGGCGGTTTCTGGTGTTTCTAATATGGAGTCGGCAAAGTTTATTTTTGCATTTAGGCAGGATAGAAAATCCATGCCAAGAAGACCATTGAAGTGGGGGTGGAAATTAAATAGTAAGAACTTAAAATTGGGAATTTGTTTGAACTGTTTGAAATTTATTTCATCTGTATATTCCTGAATTTTGAATGTACTGAGTACAGTGTGGATATTTATATCGGAGGTTAGTTTTTGATGCGGTCTTCGTTAATAAGTGCTGTTTATGAATGAGTAGGTAGATCCAGTGTCTATTAAAAATTTGAGAGGTTTTGACACCATGGAGTTTGGTGATAGGAAAACAAATGGCAATGAAGATCCGTGACCCTTCTTGCTTATGTAACCGACTGGTTTCCCGAGGCTTCTAGTGAAAAATTTGCATCATCGTTGATGTTACATAGGGGAGCGTTTGGATTATGGTTGTTTTTGTCTTGGTGATTTAGGGTCTGATCTCATTTGTTGTTATTGTGGAAGGGGTTCCTACCCAGAGTTTGACTATCGTGTCGACCATTACTATCGTTATTGGAATTATATTCACGTGTGAAGCGTCTATTATCATTGTTAAAATTTTGTTGTCGCTGTGTAAAGCGACTATTATTGTCGTTGTTGGTGTTATCATGTCGTGGTACATGGCGGCCGTTGTTGCCATTATTATAATTCTGTTGTCCTGATATGTAGCGTCTATTATAGTCATTATTGGTTGGCTGTCTTTTCGCGTATGGGTGATTCCTGTATGTCGAGCTGTCGTGTCGTTGATTTTCTTGGTGTTTATTCAGGTTTCTAGAGAAGTTTAATTCGATCTGTCCGTACTCGTACGCTTTCTCGATTGTCTCTGGTCTTTGGTTCCTAATGGCTGACCTAAGTGGGTCCTTTAATCCAACTAAGAATGTATTTAGGCAGAATTTTTCATACTGGTCACGTTTGGCTGTGCGTGAGTGTCCACTAGGGTCTGCTTCCCTGGCCAGGGACATTAATTCGCTTCTTATATTAGTGGCTGTGTAATATAGTTTTCCCATACTGGGTCCATCTTCCGTTTTTTTGCTAGAGTATAGTCGCTTGAGGTCTGCTTTGATGTCATCCCAACTGAGGAGTACATCGCAGACACTCAGCGCCTCGCCCTACCTTTAATTTTGTCACGGACGATTCCCAGTAAGTATTGTCCGCAAGTTGCTGATCTGGCTAACAAAAGTAGCTGTTCTACTCTACTAACAAATCTATCAAGGTTGTCAGGTGGGCCTTCGTAGGTGGGTAGTTGATGAACAAGGGCTAGTAGCTGATGTAGATTCAGGCTTGTGTTTGTGGAAGTCGATAAATTGCTAAGGGTGGGACTTAGTGGCCCTGATGCGTTACCGGAATCCATATCGTTGGTGGGAATATTGTTTTGGAATTGACTATCTGGTCTTTCTCTTTTGTTTCTATCGATTTCCTTATCTCAGATAAACTGACCTCGCTCCTTAGATCTAATCTGCCCCTAACTGTGTTACTAGTGGTGAAAATTTTTTTTTTTATTTTTTGCTTTATTGAAATATGGTAATGGTACGTATATAATGTATATAGAATAGTAATAATATGTAAGTAGTAATTCTAATGTAAAGTAGTTGTCGTGGAACGGATTAACATATCGCTCAAGGTTTAGTAAATTTAAATGTAGCGCCAAGTATTTCAGTATTTGTTATCGATGTTGTAAATCGTTAGAGAGATCATATTGTAAAGCTAAATGCGGTCACACGAAATGGTGAATTGTAAGCCAGAATCTCCCGCTCAGATTTATTCCGATTGGAGAGATCAAAGAGACTGGGAGGCGAGACTGCGGTATGTAAAACTGATTGTGAAAATAGGTTAAATCTGATATATGTATTTCATACAGAATAAAACATCGTCGTTTGTTTATGCTATTGTTCTACGCTACAAGACTGGCTTTCTTGTTTCGGTGTTGGCTAAGCAACGTTAAAGGCAACTCCCAGGGGATCTCTTTCGGTCGGCGTCATTTCTTTTATTCGCACTCCTTTATCGTGCAATGCCGACTTCACATTCACCCCGGCGGAGCCCCCGAATTGGACAGACGGGAGCTCCCGCAACTGCAACTACGACCACCGCGACCACATCAGCCGGCAGTCCGAAGAATGTGCCGGGCTTATCGGGCGGTGAGCTGCAGCGGCCACGGACTCCAAAGCAACCGGGATTAATCCCAAGTGGTGCTCCAAAGCCTGATAGATCAGGCCAGGATACGGACACCACAACCGCCAAGTTTGCGGCGCTGATGGAGAGGATCGCTACCTTGGAAAGGGAGCTTCAAAAGGCGAGGTCAGGTGAAGGGCAAGATGCAGCCGCGAGGGATCCCGTTAGAAACGGATCAAGCGGTATAGGAGCGAGCGGTGCGGCGAATGCGCCGCCATGTTTGAGCGGAACGCCAGGGCAGAACTTGAGTGGAAATCTGCCGCCATTGTTGAGTGGAAATCTGGCACCGAATTTGGCTGAGTCAGTGACGCCATTTTTACATGAACAGTTGCCGCCATTATTGAGTGGAAACCTGCCGCCACAATCGAGTGGAAATCTGGCAATAGGGCAACAAGTCACACTCAGTACAAACAGTACAACGTTAAGCTATTCCACACCATGCTGCGTGACGGCTACTGTGCAGCCAGCACTAAGCTACATGCAAGCTACGCGGGAACCTCTTCGCAACCTGATGGTACCCCCGCAATCAACTGGTTCATACGGAATAGCTTCGCCGAGCCCGTTAATTGGATGGACGCCGCGCAGACTGCCTGATCTTCCAGAGTTCGAAGGTCAGCCTGAGGAATGGCCAATATTCCAATGCGCGTTCACGGAGACGACGGCGGCGTATAATTGTACTGCGTTGGAGAACAACCAGAGGCTAGTGAAAGCCCTGAAGGGTGAAGCGCGAGCATCTGTCAAGTCGCTGCTTATACACCCGAATAACGTTCAGGCTGTAATGGATCAGCTACGTTTCCGATATGGACGCCCGGAGCAACTGATACGTAGCCAACTGGAAAGCGTGCGAGAGGTGCAGCCGATCCAAGAACACAATATAATAAAGATCGTGCCGTTTGCAACACGGGTCAGCAATCTCGCAGCGTTTTTACAGTCAAGCCCGAACGGGGAGCAGCACCTAGGAAATCCTACATTGATGGAAGAGCTGATCGCCAAGCTACCACTGAGCAAAAGGTTGGATTGGGCCAGGCACGCCGCCGTAATAGGGTGCTACCCAACTGTCGCGCACTTGAGCGAATGGCTAAACGAACTCGCTAAATTAGTGTGCACTATTACGAGCAGCGACAGCAAGGATCCTAAGCGTAGGGTATTGCACGCCAGCACCAGTCAGAAGGATCAGGATCTATTTGAAGATCATCCCAGGAGTTGCCCAATTTGCGAGGGGCAACACACTATCAAGGACTGTAAGGATTTCAACCACGCTACTCCGACTGCCCGTATGGAGTATGTAAGAAAGCATCGGATTTGTTTCTCGTGCCTGGAGAGCGGTCACATGTCCAGGTTCTGCAAGAGAAACAGCAAGTGCAACGTCTACGGATGCCAGATGGGGCATCACTACCTCCTGCATGACGGGGTGGGCAACCCCACACGGCCATCGCAACCCCACGGTCGACCATGGCCAAATGAAAGGAGCGATCGCGGTCGCATGGTACATGCGGGCGCTGACAGGAGGAAGGTGGACAAGCAAGTACATCAGCCAGATGATCTGGCCCAGAGAAGTCCACTTACGGCATCTGCACAGACGCAGGATGCATGGCGCAAGCGGGACGAAGGCCGTCAGCCAAGTGACGGGAATGGATTGCCACATCGGAACCTAAGTTGCGTCGATCCGGATGGAGGACACTTACTATTCCGTATTTTGCCCGTGACGCTGTACGGGGAGGATACGCAGCTGGATACCTACGCGCTGTTCGACGAAGGTTCGTCCGTGACCCTGATCGACGAGGAGCTCACTCGAAGCCTAAACCTAAAAGGCGAGAGTCGGCAGCTCAACATTCAATGGTTCGGTGGCAAGTCAGCGAAAGAGAACACAAAGATGGTCAGCCTCCAGATTAGTGAAGCGGGCAGACCGAAACGCCATGCTTTGAAAAATGTGTATGCGGTCTCTAACCTCAATCTTCCGATGCAAAGTCTGCGTCGGGAAGATGTCAAAGCGGCGAAGGCTTCTGCACGCCTGCCGATGAAACCGTATCGTAATGCGGTCCCGAGGATTTTAATCGGACTAGACCATGCGCACCTAGGGAATACCTATGCAAAACAGGAGCTTCGGAGCAGGAGGACCCTATGCAGCCGCCACCAAGCTAGGATGGGTGGTTTTTGGTCCTGTAAGAAGTCAGATGAGTTCACCAATGCAAAGATCGTGCCTCCTAGCCGTCCCACAGTATGATCATCTCGAGAAGATGGTCAGCGACTATTTCGAAATAGAGAATTTCGGAGTGAAGCCGGCGCCACCAGTCGCAGCTAGTGGCGACGCACGGGCTTTGGGAATCCTGAACGAGACGACTAGGCGAGTGGGCGAACGATACCAAACTGGATTGCTGTGGAAAGATGATAAAGTGAGCCTGCCTGACAGCTATAACATGGCACTCAAAAGACTTGTCGGCATTGAAAGGAAGATGAGACGGGATGACAGCTTTGCACGGGCCTACAAGTCGATCATGGAGGACTACGTCAACAAGGGTTACGCACGACGCCTGGAGCAGCAGGAAGTGGCAGCCGATAACCGGGACAAGATCTGGTACCTGCCGCACTTCGGGGTCGAGAACCCAAACAAGCCCGGAAAGATCCGTCTAGTCTTCGATGCCGCAGCCAAAGTGGGCAATACATCTTTGAACTCAGTTCTACTCAAAGGCCCACAACAGTTCAAGTCCCTGCCAGCCGTGCTCTTCCATTTCCGGGAAGGAGCAGTCGGGGTCTGCGCAGACATAAAGGAGATGTTTCATCAGGTGCTGATACAGCCCCAGGATAGATGCGCCCAGAGATTCCTGTGGAGGAATGGAGATGACCGGCGAGATCCAGATCTGTTCGAAATGGTTGTGATGACGTTCGGAGCCGCTTGTTCGCCGTGCTCAGCGCATCATGTGAAGACCATAAACGCTTCAAGATACGCCCAAGCAGATCCTCGCGCGGTTCAGGCCATCAATGAGTATCACTATGTAGATGACTACGTGGATAGTTTCTCGGACGAGAAAGAAGCTATCGCTGTATCAGAACGAGTAAGGAAAATTCATGCTGAGGCCGGTTTCGATTTGTGCCGCTTCTCATCAAGTTCGGAAAGTGTGGTCAAGGCTTTGAACCCACTAGGATCCAATAAGAACGTTGAATGGAATGAAGCGGAGGAGAAAATATTAGGCATGTACTGGCACCCAGCGACGGATGACTTTAAATTCAGCGTAAAGTACCACAGGGTTCCCAGCAGCGTGATGACCGGAGAACGTGCACCCACCAAGAGAGAATTCCTAAGTCTGGTTATGTCAACATTTGACCCGATAGGATTCTTGAGCTGCTTCATGGTAACCGCCAAACTATTGATGCGTGAGATTTGGCGGAGAGGAGTTCAGTGGGACGAGCCGTTGCCGGATGAGTTAGCCAAAGCGTTTGAGAGCTGGAGGCTGGAAATGGATTACGTGAGAGATTTCCGCTGTCCACGCTACTACTTTGGCACGGGATGCGTACGTGAACTGCAGCTACATGTGTTTGTGGACTCCAGCCAATCGGCGTTCGCAGCAGTTGCATTCTGAGGGCGACTTATGACAACGATGATGTGCGGTCCTATTTCGTGTGTTCCAAAACGAAATGCGCCCCGATGAAGACGATGACGATCCCGCGCCTGGAGCTCCAAGCAGCTGTATTAGGAACCAGGCTGATGGACACCGTAAGACGAGAGCACGACGTATCGATCAGCAGATGCGTGCTATGGACTGACTCTAAGACCGTGCTGCACTGGATAAGCAGCACCCACCGGCGGTATAAGCAGTTCGTTGGAAACCGGGTGGCGGAGATCTTAGAGTCAACGGAGGTGTCTCAATGGAGGTGGATACCGTCTGCCGAAAACGTGGCAGATGACGCGACGAGGCCACAGCGCCATGTGGACCTCAGCCAAGGGGCAAGGTGGATGAGCGGGCCATCATTTCTGCGGGAGTCGGAAGAACAGTGGCCCAAGCCATCTCCAAGTGATCGCGACAGTCCACACTCCGCAGAAGAAGAGATGCCGTGTGAGTTTACACTGGTAATTGCCAACGAGTTTATATTTTTGCAGAGATTTTCGAATTATAATCGATTGGTCAGGACCACAGCGTGGATCCTCAGGTTCATACGACGGTGCCGTGGATTGAGTGACGAGAGTGAGGCCTACGGTATTACAGCTACTGAGTGCGCGGAGGCAGAACGGAAACTGATCCAGCGCGCCCAGGCTGATACGTTCGCAGATGAAGTTCAAGGAAAGGCAGTGGCGAAAGGCAGTCAGTTACGAGGACTATCCCCTTACGTCGACCACGATGGAATCATACGAGCGCGTGGACGGATTGATGCCGCCGAATGCGTCCCATTCAACGCACGGCGCCCGATCATACTGTCGCACAAACACGCACTGGCAGAGATGATAGTTCGTCACTACCACAGGAAGATGAAGCACCAGAATCTAGACGCGACCATAAGCGAGATCCGGACCAGGTTCTGGATAACCAATTTAAGGAGAGTTTTACGGAGTGTTATGGCAACCTGTAACTTATGCAAACTCCGGAGAGTACGACCAATTCCGCCATTGATGGGTCCGTTGCCAGAGGACCGGCTGGAGCCGAATGGATGGCCATTCAAGTATACTGGCTTGGACTACTTTGGTCCGCTGTTTGTGACGATTGGACGTCGCACTGAGAAGAGGTGGGTCGCACTCTTTACTTGTCTAACCACCAGGGCTGTCCACCTGGAGATAGCCCACGATTTGTCAACAGATTCCTGCATCATCGCTATGAGGAATTTTTATGTGCCGCCGTGGACCGGTGGTCAGATTGAGGAGCGACAATGGAAAGAACTTTATTGGAGCAGATCGTGAGGCCAGAAAGTTCGATGAAGTCTTCGAACCAGAAAAGATCCAGGATGAGCTGTCATCCAAAGGAATCGAATGGATCTTTAACTGTCCCGCGAACCCAGCTGCCGGCGGCATCTGGGAAAGGATGGTCCAATGTGTGAAGAAGGTGCTCGCGCATACTGTGAAGGAGGTGGCTCCTAAGGAACACGTCTTGGAGAGCTTTCTTATTGAGGCGGAGAATATTGTTAATTCTCGTCCGCTTACCCACCTTCCAGTCACTGTGGATCAGGAGGCACCGCTAACGCCCAACGATCTGCTAAGAGGAGTGGCTAATGTTCCGGACCTTCCTGGAGATCGCGGAGAGCAGCCTGTCAAGTGCGCTACTAGGAAGCAGTGGCGTATCGCACGGATGATGAGAGACAGATTTTGGAAACGTTGGGTACATGAGTATCTACCGACGCTTGTTCGCAGGGAGAAATGGTGCGAGCATGTCGAGCCTATGCGCCCAGGGAATCTCGTGTACATCTGTGATCCGGCCATCCCTCGTCGAGAATGGAGGAAAGGCGTCGTGGAGGAAGTGTACCCAGGAGCGGATGGAGTACCACGACGAGCGGCGGTACGCACTACCAATGGCGATCGAGCTAAATTAATCATGCGTCCCATCTCCAGATTGGCTATCCTGGATGTGGTGAATGCAGTTGCTTCACCGGGGTGGGGATGTCGTGGAACGGATTAACATATCGCTCAAGGTTTAGTAAATTTAAATGTAGCGCCAAGTATTTCAGTATTTGTTATCGATGTTGTAAATCGTTAGAGAGATCATATTGTAAAGCTAAATGCGGTCACACGAAATGGTGAATTGTAAGCCAGAATTTCCCGCTCAGATTTATTCCGATTGGAGAGATCAAAGAGACTGGGAGGCGAGACTGCGGTATGTAAAACTGATTGTGAAAATAGGTTAACTCTGATATATGTATTTCATACAGAATAAAACATCGTCGTTTGTTTATGCTATTGTGCTACGCTACAAGACTGGCTTTCTTGTTTCGGTGTTGGCTAAGCAACGTTAAAGGCCCCTCCCAGGGATCTCTTTCGGTCGGCGTCAGTAGTAATTATATATATATGTATATTAATTATATGTATACGTATTTTTTTTTTTTTTTTATGTATAGGTATAGGATAAATTTTGTTGTATATTAATGTGGTAATATAGTGTACTATAATATGTGACATAACCTGTACATATATGTATCTATGTTTGGGTGCAAGAAAATTTTATGTATTTTATGTATATACGGTTTCTCTACTTATATATATATATATATATATTTTTGTATATATACTGTATATTCCGTTGTTTTTTAATAGTAAAAGAAAACCTGTAGTACGTATCCGAAAAAGAATTCCCTCTTTCCTTCGCTTCCCCTGTGTTTAGTGTAAGTTGTATGCCATTCGTATAGTGCTGCTGTGTTTGCTCCCACTTTTTTTTTTTTTTCGACTTCAACTGTATATTTATGTGATTTAGTAAATATATTTTTTAGAGGTTAGTGAACATGTGACAACAATAAAAGTTAAGTTGTTCAAGGAAAGTTTTTTTGTTTTTTTTCTCCTTTTTTTTATTATTATTTTTTTTTTTTATAACAATGTATAACATCTTCCTTTGATTAATTTAATTGATTTTATTTCTCTTCTAATATGGTTCTTTTTCGTGGTGGGGGGGGGGCAAAAAAATACAACAGAGTCCACACCCCCACGGCAGCGCGGGTCCCCCCCCCCCCTCTGGCGCGTCATCAGCTCTTGGCGGCAGTCACTGCACAGCGACGCAACAAGAGTTTCACAAGCGGCGTCACACAAATACATACATACATGTTTGCTTGATTTTTGCCAAAGGGAACAGTATGATATTTGTGCATGTTTAATTTATTCTTCCATTTTTGTGTTTTTTTTTTTTTGTTTTTAGTATTTTTGTTTTTATGTAATTATTTGGAAAAAATAATATATTAGCGTTTGTGTAAATTGGTAATGAAAACGATCCCGGTGCCTTAACAGCGATTGTTGTACACATATACGGTCGTTAATCACACAACTTACTTATTTATGTATTTCATAATAATGCATTTGCGTTCATGTAGATTGATAAATCAAAACGATCCCGGTGCCCTAACAGCGATTGTTGTACACATTTACGGTCGTTAATCACACAACTTACTCAACTTGTTTACTTACACAACTTGTAAACCACTGTGTGCGGATTGTCCCATTGCGTTGTCGGCGATTAATGTGATATTGCCGAATCGGTGATATTTGAGGGCACGTTATTTTTTTTTTTTTGTTCTTACGCAGAGAGTTCTGGTCACAACGAAGTCTAATGTTTGACTGATCTATTTCTGTAGTATTCTCCTTCTTCAGTGAACCACGCTCGGCCACAGCGACGCCATGTTGTCGCCGCGACGTAACGGTTGTTTTCAGAAATGCAAAACTACAACCAATCGCAATTAAGCTATAGCTATATATATAGCTATATATAGCTGCTGTGTATTGATGATACCGGTGCCTTATCAGCGATTGATGTACACATATACGGTCATCGCACACAGCAGCTTGTTGTTATAATAGTTGTAAATTGTCCCACACAAGCAAACCCGGTGCCTTATCAGCGTTTGATGTACACATATACGGTCGCTTGCATGGTATTTAGCACTTGATTTCGTTTGTTTCGTTTATTTTATTTGCACATTTTTGTGTATCGCTCACTCCTGAAATCCCATTTGCACTTGCACGTTATTATGTTTTATTTCCTTTTAAGTACGTATGTATTATGTGTAACTATCTCACTACTTAAAGTTTCCAGGACCACCGTTGTCACCTGTTCACTCACCTCAGCCTACAAGGAAAATTGGAAGCGTAGTGAGCATGGTTAATCCCTTGTTCGTAGTCCGGCTGCGCCAGTTACAGTGTCGTGTCCGAGGGAGTAGAGGGGATCTCGTATGAGATTGTCGCTTTTTTAAATGCTGAAGGCTTGCAAATAAAATGACTGGGTTGTTTGGAGTTCCAAATAAGAATGATGTTTTATTATAAAGAAGATTAAAAAGAAGATTATTATAAAGAGTAGTCTGTCCTTGTCAGAGTTCTTGCGTTGGCGATCTTGTTGTTTCATTCGCGCTATTCTTGCAGTTCCCGGGTCTGTGTTCTCTCTCGGTGGCTGTGGAGAGAGGAATGTTCTCTCGTTCTCTCCCTGTGGTTGCGGAGAGAGGAATCTTAACTCGCCTGAGTCAGGTATTCTATAAGATCCTCCCTCCATTGGTTTTCTGAAAGACATGAAAGACATATCTCTTGGGCGAGTTCACCTGGGAACTCACCCCTACCCTCAAGTGTGCGCTCGGGTCTGCTTGTGCGCGGAGCTGCGAACTCACCCCAACCCTCAAGTGTGTGCTGATATCTGCTTGTGCGCGGAGGTGTGGAAATTTATTTTTAAGCGTTTTAATGAAAAGTTGCAGTTTTTAACTTACAATCGTATAAAGCAAACTATTGGAAAGGGCTTGAAAAATGCAGTTGCCGCACTTTTTGAGTTGTGGTCATCTTTGCTCGCTGGGCAGTGTGCGGAGTCATGAAGCTCACCACAAACTACACACACCGGGCGCAGTTTACAGTAAGACCTTGTATGGCCAAATTCTTGGCAGTTCGCACATTGTACCGGCCCATTGCGTTTGTGCGGCTTCTCAACCGTAATTCTGCGGTGCAGCAGGAACTGAAGATTGTATATAGGGTGCACTTCGTATTTCTTTAGGGGTCTTAATCTCTGGTTCGAGCTCAACCTTAAAGAGGGGCAACGGCTTTCTATCCCTGTTAAGGATATTGAAGACTGTCTTAGCGCTAAATCCCTTCTCTTGTAGCGCCTTTGTTATCTTTGCAGGCGATACTTCAGACTCTATGCCCTTAAGTACGACTTGCAGGCCCTTGCTGCTTTTTAGCTGATACGTATAAAAGTTCTTTTTTTGTCGGTGAGATATTTTGATAATACTCTGTAATTATCTTCAGACTTCGTTTGAACTTTTGTTTCCTGGATGTTGCCCTTTACGAGTTGTATTATGTGAAAATTTTCCTTGCCAATAAGCTCTATAATTTTGTTGACAAGAACGTTGGAACTTCTTTCTCGTATGTAAATTGGCGAGGGCTTAGTCTTCCTTTTTTCAACTTCAGTAGAATCGGCATCATCCTCATAGTCTGCCAAGATTTTAAAACGGTTTGAGTTACAGGGCGTTTCTATTGCAGCTATGTTAGCATTGCCACGGGTTATTTTGCGTTGACAGTTTAGGGGGCTTAGCTTCCTTTTGATTTGGATGTAGCGATCCATACCAGTCGGCACAGCCGGCTTAATATTTTCATTGTTTTTGTTATCTTTTTCGAGCCGTTCCTTAATCCGAATATCAAAAATTGTTTTTGAATATAATTTTGCATCATTTTAATTCCGGCGTGTAATGTTTTTCTATGTGAATTTTTGATAATTAGTGAAGTTAAATGACACTTATCTAGAATTATCGGATGTTTTGTATGAAATTCGGCGCTGGAGTTCTGTAATCTACCTCCTACTTTTAATACTCCGCCTTTATCCAAAAATGGATTCAATCCTAAGATTTTGAATTTAATTCGAATATCTGTTTTAAGCAATTTATCTCCAAACTTTTTTTTTTTTATAGCTTTGCTGGGTGGCTAGGTCTTTGCGACGAAGGCGTGATTGGTTGCTCAACCTTGTTAGACCTCTAGCCAGTTGGTTAGGGTGCACCGATAGCTTGGTGAAGTACTTTACCTTTTGTTCTGCGATCACTTCTTTGACTGGTTGAATAGTTAAGTCGCGGTGTATGTTTTCGTTGCGAACGTGCCACGGTGCCCCGGTGATTGTTCTCAGGATCTTCGACTGAACTCTCTGAACAATGTCAATGTTGCTATTGCTGGCGTTCCCATATAACTGGGAGCCGTACATCCATATAGGTTTTAGTACCGAGTTGTACAGCATGATTTTATATTCAAGGCTAAGAGGTGACCGGGCGTTGATAAGCCAATGAAGGCTGCTGGCTTTTAGCTTTAGGTGTGTTCTTTTGGTTTCAATGTGCCGGCGCCATGTGAGTCTTCTGTCGAGATGTACTCCTAGGTAAATTACTTCGTTTGCTTGTGGGAATAGAGTGTTGTTTAAGGTAATCGGCGGGCAGTTTTGCCTGTTCAGAAAGAAAGTAACGTGTTTGCATTTTAGTCCGTTCACTTTAATTCGCCAATCTGATAGCCATTTTTCAACTTCGACCATATGACGAGCTAGCTGCGCATTTGCTTGAATCGGGCATTTAGAACGGCTAAGAATAGCTTTGTTATCGGTAAACGTAGATGTTGTAGATGTGCAGAGGACATATAGTGTTGGCCCTAGCACGCTACCTTGAGGAACTCCAGCTCCAACAGATATAGCAGTGCTGCACCTCACAACAAATTTTCTGTCGTGAAGGTAAGACCCTAAGATCTTGTGGGTGCTGTAGGGGAGCATTGTCTTGATCTTGTACATTAGACCTTCTAGCCAGACTCCATCATCTTCTAGCTTGAGAGTCATCTAAAAATATGGCTGTACAGTACTCTCGTTTCTCGAAAGCGTTTCGAATTTCTGATGTTATCCGGTTGACCTGCTTAATTGTTCCATGGTTTTCACGAAACCCAAATTGGTGTGACGGGATTCCTTCCTGGATTCTCAGGTAT